AGTCCCCACAATTAGAGTTAGCGACGACGTATGTTTTACACTCTGTGTTCAGTGAAGAACTCACCAAACACAGAGTTTTTACACTCGAATGCTCGTGGCTAGTATATTTAATATAACATATCCTTCATTCGAGTGTTTCAAATAATGATTATCAGGCATATTGTAAATCTCTCTTAATTTGTAAAGTGCGACAGCAAAACATTCAGCCGCGTAGGGAACTTGAAACCCTCACCGTTAGATTAAAAGTCTCCACGCTCTACCAAGTGAGCCAACGAGGCCCACAGAACAGTTCACTTTCACACTCAACACAACCTAGAACCTTATGACGCTATTAATGCATGAGTGTGTTAATTGCATTAGTTTTAACTCATTAAATGCTTTTGTAGTGATAAAATTGAAAGCCAGTGCGCGCTAAAGTCATTAAGAGTCACCATGTCGCTGCCGTATAGCCTGCATTCACTCTTAGATTTACACTCAGTCATTCAATCAAGAAATTATTCCTTGCAGGATTGCGTGTAGTCTACATGAGTTCAAAATCAAATGCATTACAAGGATGAGCTAGAAAGGTTAGATAATGAAGAGCAAAGAGGGGTACTACTGCTAATTCCATTTCCGCGAGCTTTCTTTATTGAACAACAACCAAATGACGAAAACCACTTTGTCATTTATCTTCGAACATAATTATCTCAATATTTAATCATTATCGAAATAAGAGATTACGCTCCAATTTTAAACATACTTTCTTGGAGGTGAAGGCGGAAGCTACTTCTCTAGTTCATCGGTCCTTGTACTGGCTACCTTGTACTGTACTGGATATGTGGCTGTTTTTCCAAAACACCCTTTCATAACATTGTAAAATTTATTATGGATTTATGTTTTACACCGGTTGCGCAATATTGCTATTATTTCCCTGGAAGAACGAAAAGCATATGATGTGGAGGGAATCTTGGAGTATCAGAGTCATACGTTCAATGTGTAGTTTTTTCAAAACGGAGAAACAATTTTTACTTTAATAACAAAAATCGCATTTCACATAATTATTAATGGTGTGAAGGAAGAGATCTGTACTGCGAGAAATTTGCACATGTGTAACACAAATGTTTTTCCATCGCTGAAACGTTTTAAAGAGACTTTTAAAAAAAAGTTCATGTACCGCGCTAGCCAAAGATATAAGCTTTCGAATGTTTACTAAATCTTTCAAAAAATTTTTTTGTCCAGCGAAAGGGATTGCTTTTCATCTTGTGCTAGCAAACGCAAAAGTACCGGAAAATCGTATTTGGGATGTCTTGCATTACCGACAGTACTTGAAAGGAAGTATAAGGACCGATGAGCTAGAGAAGTAGCTTCCGCCTTCACCTTCAAGAAAGTATGTTCAAAGTTGGAGCGTAATCTTTCATTTCGATAGTGATTAAATATTCAGATAATTATGTTCTGAGGATAATTGACAAAGTGGTTCTCGTCATTTGGTTGTTATTCATCGCAGAAAGCTGTCGGAAATGGAATTAGCAGTAGTACTCCTCTTTGGTCTTCATTACCTAAGCTTTCTAGCTCATCCTTGTAATGCATTTGATTTTGAACTCATGTGGACTACACACAATCCTGCAAGGAATAATTTCTTGATTGAATGACTAGCGCAAATCTAAGAGTGAATGCAGACTATCCGGCAGCGCTATGGTGACTCTTGATCACTTTTGCGCGCGCTGGCTTTCAGTGTTATCACAAATGCGTTTAACGAGTCAAAACTATTGCAATGAACACACTTATGCATTAATAGCGTCATAAGGCTCTACGTTATGTTGAGTGTGAAATTCAAACAGCGTGTGGGCCTCGTTAGCTCAGTTGGTAGAGCGTTAGACTTTTAATCTAACGGTCAGGGGTTCGAGTCCCCTACGGGCTGAGCGTTTTGCAGTCACACTTTACAAATCAAAAGAGAGAATTGTTTCGTATTAGTCACGGCATACGGCGGTGCTGTATTCCTTTTGATACCAAAATCATAAACCCAAAAACGAAGTAAATGAAAAGACTTTGAAAGTTTCAAATGAACAGCCAAGGCATGTGGAATTTACGCGAGAAAGTTTAGACGGAAACTGACTTCCATTCTCTGACACTCAAATAAAACTTGTAGAAATTGGCTACAGCACAAAATGGGACCGGTAAGCATACAGCAAAATGCACTAGTCCATTTCCTCTCCTCTTATAGTTCACTCATGAAAAACTTCAAAAACATGTACCGAACGACTGAAATGTATGCCTAGGAGAAGAGGGGAGGAATAGCTAAACCTGGCACGAAAAATAGCCATCTCAAATGCCTACTAAACATCAACCACTAGGATTACTTTAGAGGGTGGGTTCCGATCCCCATATTAATACCTTGCGCATGAATAAGATCCCGTAAGCTACACTTTATATCAAATGAAGTTAATAGCGCTACTGAGAGGTGCGTATGAAGGAGTAGTCTAAAAAGTTGTGTATTATTCACTGAACTCCAACCTAGCATCCTGCGCCGTGAACTAGACGGCAATCACCTCTCTGATCAATTGTACAACTCAGAAAATTGTATAATCTGCCCAATGAAGAGAGGAGCATTGCATGAGTTTGGGCTTAATCTATTCAACATCATGTAGGACATGTGTGGATGAATATTACATTGGTAAAACAGGGTGAAGCACTTTGTGCTCACATAAAAGAGCATATAAATGTCAAATTCAAAAATTGAAAAAGTACACTTCAAGGCGCACAAAGGGGCAAAAGCACAATGGTAGTGATTTGAAAGTGATTGCCACAATCCAGGTGCGAGAATCAAAAACATCAAGGAGCAAAATCTCAGAGCACCTTGCTTAAACGCTAAAAATCTACATGTAACGGAAGTACGATTGCGCTACTACAGCGCTTAAAAAGGCTCCTCTCCGCCTGATTTTTTTGACTTGCCGCAAGGTCGATGAAATAGGTATCAAATCCATCTCAACATTCGGATAGTTTAATACAACGTACGTTACAAGGCTCTGAAGAAGACAGTGCTACCGAGGCAATGTGCATCGAAATGCCATTTCTACTATTCCTACTACTACTACTAATAGCACAACTAGTGATATAACCAACCTCGCGTCGGTTTAAACAACATAGGTCTCAAGAAATCATTCTAAATCATTCAAGTGATCGGCTTTACTAGTGGTCAAGTGATAAATGTAAGCTTGGTTAGCCCAGGACGCGTGATCGAACCAGCGAATATGTGCACTAGGAGAGCTAGTTATTACGCTTCACCAACCTCCTTGCTCTGGTAAATTCTGTGTTCTTCGCTAACACGCACAGTATATAACCAGCAATGTCTTCTAGTATCAGTGCATGCTATAACACCGTAGTTACTCTTTCACATCACATGACCGTCCACTAGCATGCAAGCACTTTACTTAACACGCGATGTAACGCGTTCGTCGACGCTCACTCTTTTTAAGAGGAGTTCTCTCCCGAGAGGATTGGCACAGGCGATGGGCAATGTGCAACCGACGAAAGCTGCAAGGCCGAAACGTGTGTATTGCAGTGTATAAGTGCCGTAAGAGGCCTCATGAAAGTTTAAAATAGGCTGTCAGGATGTATTAATTTCAAACTAGTTCTTAAGAAACATTTGAATATGATGGTACTTTGATTTATACATTTCCACTAAGGTCATCAGTTTGTACTCAATTTAGTAATCAAGTGTTCACATGTGTTACAAATACATGTAGTCACTACCGTGGGTTCAATCTTTGGAATAGAAACTAAGAAATGAGTCATTGCTTTTAGCAGAGAGTATTTAAACTTCGCCGACCGCGTTGTTGATAACGTCGCCGAAATGCTCACCACAAATCTGTTCAACTGGCAAAAGCAAGCTTTTTCTACAATTTTTGGATTAAATAGAATTTGTTTTTTCAAAATGAAGGATGTAAGCTAATATTCAGATGTGCACTTAAGTAGCTCTATAGACTTTTTGAGCCTCATTCATCTTGCTCAAAAAACGCCTTACAGAGTATCAACGTTTACTGCTAAAATTTGGCGTCAAATTCTTGATTTTCGCATGTGAGAATTACAGCAATAACACCAACAAAGAACAATATGGACCAGGTGCACATTCTTCAGTAAGTAAACGCATCGTTCAAATCGGCATTTTGGGACTATCGTGGAGATTATGAGAGCGCGAGTTTATAAGTCTATCGAATAAGAAACCCACTATATCTATGTCAAGATGTTACTGGAGAGCATAAAGAGAGCCACCATAGCTGCATAAGAAATTGTGAGAGCTTTTGAAGCAGAATTCATAGGAGAGCAAAAGCCTTCCAATAGGAACTAGAAGGTGAGGTCAGGCCTGTTCTTTCGGAACGAAACCCTGGGATGCGATAAAAGACGATGAAATATTATGTATTCTATCGACAAATCAATAATTAGTACATATGATTTTGCGTCGTACACGAGGTCAATGGTTCGATCTCGCGCTCATGGCTCACCGAGCCATCCATCCTTCGAGGTCGATTAATCGGTACCAGACTGGTCTCAGGCTTGTCTAGGAGGATAAGCAGCACTGACTCGATACAACGGTAGGTCACTGCGAGTCATTGTAAAGGTCAGATATGCATTCAGTTACCTCAAACGAAGTTAAAAATTAAAGATGAATGCGTGGTCCATCCCTCAGGGACTGATAATCGCCGAGAGCTTTATCTTTTATCCTTTATGATTTTGCGTTGTACAATACTTGTCCCAGGCTCAATACCTCATTCAAAATACGGCTTCATGAGAGAAACCGGAAGCAGGGCCCAACAGTACTGCTCACTAAGTATTTATATTACCCTATGGTGTTAGGATAACGACAGAAATTTTACAGTTTCATCATATTTTGATGGTAAAATGAAGAGAGACCAACCATACTAGTCCAATAGACAAGTGGAAATGAGGGGTGACACGTTGACAAAAGGAAGTAATAAATGATTTTGACACTAACTTTTTGATGAGACATGAAAATGTGTTCGTTGTTCAAAGATTATTATCTTAGTCAAGAAGAAATTTCTACTACCGCTAAAATGTTTATTTACATACTAAATCCTGATGATATTAGTTCGAATTTCAGGGCAACCTGGATATTTAACAATTTTTTTACCATAATGAGATCCATGCATTAGTAAGGTTTCCGGTGGCGCATCCACTGCTTCCGTTACCGTTTCCTCTACTGGGGTTTTTCAAAAGAGACCTATCAAACTCCGTGAATTTCAGGATCGGCTATAGTTGATCTCGACGATGGTGTTGAATGTAG